TAATCCTCAATTCTTCCAATAAGGGGAGGGGCCCTGATAGGAGCAGACTCATCCTTCAGATCAATGCATGACTGTGCAAGTGGTGTCACCAGCTGGGATTTGGCTTCTTCAACCATGGGCTGTTGTTCCAAAAAGAAAGCTTGCTAGGAAGGGATGGGATCCACCTGATGAAGTGAGAGAAAAGCATTTTCATAGACAGGCTTGCTAACCTAGTGATGAGGGATTTAAACTAGGTTTGCCAGGGGATGGAGAACAAAGCCCTAAGATAAGTGGGGAAGCAGGGGACCTGGAAGAAGCAGAAGCAGGAGGGTGCAATAGGGGAGGCCTCATTCTTACTGACAAAGTAGGGCAATTGGCCAGTTACCTCAGGTGCCTGTACACAAACGCATGGAGCCTGGGAAACAAGCATGAAGAATTGGTAGTCCTTGCACAGTCAAGGAACTATGACATGATTGGGATAACAGAGATTTGGTGGGATAGCTTGTATGACCAGATCATTGTTATGGATAGGAACAAACTGCTCAGGAGTGACAGGCAGGGGAGAAGAGGAGCAGTTGCAATGTATGTAAAAGATCTGTATGATTGCTCTGAGCTCCAGTATGAAACTGGAAAGTATCTGGGTTAAGATTAGAGGGAAGAGCAAGAAGGGGTGATGTTGTGGTGGATGTATGCTATAGGGTACCTGACTAGGAGGATGAGGTACATGAGGCTTTCTTCAGGCAACTAACAGAAGTTTCCTAATCATAAGTCCTGGTTCTCATGGGGGATTTCATTCACCCTGACATCTGCTGGAAAGGCAATACACCAGTGCACAGGAAATACAGGAAGTTTTTGAAGGGCATTGGAGACAACTTCTGGGTGTAAATGTTGGAAAGACCAATTAGAGGCCACATTCTTCTTGATCTACTACTCACAAACATAGAAGAATTAGTGAGGGAAGTAGAGATGGATGGCAAGTTGGGCAGGATCTTGAGTTCAGGATCTTGACAAAAGCAAGAAAGGAGAGCAGCAGATTATGGACCCTAGACTTCTGAAAAGCAAACTTTGATTCCCTCAAGGAACTGATGGACAGAATCCCCTGGGAAACCAGGCTGAGGGGGAAAGGAGTTCACGAAAGCTAAATGTACTGTAAAGAAACCTTACAGAGGGCACAGGAACAAACCATCCTGATGTACAGGAAAAACAGCAAATGTGGCAAGCAGCCAGTTTAGCTTAGCAGAGAACTCTTCAGTGAGCTGAAACACAAAAAGGAAGCTTTCAAGAAGTGGACACTTGGACAAACAACTTGAGAGGAGTATAAAAATATTGCTTGGGCATGCAAGGATGAAGTCAGGAAGGCGAAAGTGCAATTGGAGTTGCAACTAGCAATGGGATGTGAAGGGTAACAAAAAGCTGGGGGGGGAAGGGTGTAGTAGATAAACTGGGGGGTAGGGCTAGGATTCAGAGTGACCTAAACAAATTAGAGGATTGGGCCAAAAGAAATCTCATGAGGTTTATCAAAGACAACTGCAAAGTCTTGCACTTAGGATAGAAGTATCCCATGCACCACTACAGCCTGGGGACTGATTCGGTAAGCAGCAGCTCTGCAGAAAAGGACCTGGGGGTGACAGTGAACAATAAGATGGATGCGAGTTAGTAGTGTGCCTTTGTTGCCAAGAAGGCTAACAGCATACCGGGCTGCATTTGTAGGAGCATTGCCAGCAGGTCAAGAGAAGTAATTGTTCCCCTATATTCTGTACTGGTAAGGTCACATCTGGAGTACTGTATCTGGTTTTGGGCTCCCCACTATAGAAAGGATGTGGACAAGTTGGAGAGACTCCAGTGGAGGGCAACAGAAATGGTTCAGGGGCTGGGACACATGACTTATGAGGAGAGGCTGAGGGAAGTGAGTTTATTTAGTTTGGAGAAGTGAAGACTGAGGAGGGATTTGATAGCAGTCTTTAAGTATCTGAAGGGTGGTTCCAAGGAGGATGGAGCTAGACTGTTCTCAGGAGTGACAGATGCCAAACAAGGAGCAATGGTCTCAAGCTGCAGCAATGGAAGTGTAGGTTGGATACTAGAAAAAACTTTCCCAGTAGGAAGGTGGTGAAGCGCTGGAACCAAGTTATCTAGAGAGGTGGTGGAATCTCCATCCTTGGAAGTTTTTAAGGCCCATCTTGACAAAGCCCTGATGGTCCTGCTTTGAGCGGGGGTTTGGAGTAGATAACCTCCTGATGTCCCTTCAACCCTAACTTTTCTATGATTCTATGGAATGATTAAACTGTGCATTTCTGTAATCTTTTTTCATTAGCTTAATCCTACTGGACTGTAGTTCACTTTACAAACCCATCTAATAATATAGTCTATAATATGATTTGATTGAAGGATATGTTCTGGCATTTCAGTAGTCTTTTGTCTATAGTTGACTCTATTTACAAAGGCTTTTATTTTTTGTTTGTGTGTCATCAAATAACTGTGCAACTCTTCCTAGGTTACTGTTTCCATTCCTGACTGAGTATAACAAAAACAGGCATTCTTTTGTTACTGGAACAGAGTAAGAGAATTGCTACATTGATGTATTTTACATATCCCTGCAGCCATGCCACATTGAGGTCTGACGATATTCCCAAACAGAAAACACCATGGTTGTCATCACACATGTGGCATGAGGGAGAGGCTGCAGGTCTAGTACCTTCTGTGGAACAATTACTTAAAAGGTGATAGTCGCATATTACTATTTGAATTGGTCTGCCTATTCAAATACCAGCTCACCTTTTACGGCACCTATATACATGCAGAGAGGCTGCTCTGTTGTGCTATAATTACAACATGTTGGAGCAGTCTCAATTAATCGAGTCTCCTGGAGCATGGTAATTACTGTGCCCCAGCAGACTCCAGCGTCATATGTATCAGTGTCCCTGCACTGAAAAATGCTGGTGGGAGCATTTATCTAAAGCTCCCCCGCTGCCATTTTTCAGCACAGGGACACTGATAATATGTGGCACACTGGGCACTTTAATTAGAGTGACTGTCAAAGCCACTCTAGTTAAAGCACCTGCCACCCCTCCCCCTGTGCCTTCCAAAGTACGTCTATAAATGTCCTTCATGGTTCATCATAATCCTCATAATTTATCCCCATTCCCAAAAGACCAGGAAGATGAGTGAGCTTTCCTTTTTTTCCAGAGGGTGAAAATCCTCAAGCTTTTTCAGAATTTAGGAAAGAATAGATTCAGCCTGCAATTGAGATCAGTAGACAGAGATGTATGTAACAGTTCAGACAGTATTGCATCCACCAAAGCTCTTGGTATACTAAATATTTTCAGTTTCCTAGTTACTAAAAGACACCCACATAAAAATGTACTATTAAAATACATTCAAAATCTCTTGTTTATTAAAGGGATGAAAAGGGAAATCTTCCATGTGATGATGTTGGCAGACACATAGTGGGCAAGCCAGTTCATACAGGATCGGAATCTCCTAATTCATTTCTTGACCAGGAATATCGGAAGCGTTTTAATGTGGTTGAAGAAGACGCAGTCTTATACTGCTATGAATATGAGAAAGGAAGAACAAGTGGTCCTGGGAGGAGAGAGAGCACTCCAACATATGGTAAGGTATTAATAAGGCTCATTCAATGTTTTCATTTGTTTCATGGCTGACATTTTCTTTTTAAATAAAGAATATACATTTATGAATTTGCTTAGCTAAGAATTTTCTGTTTCTATAGGAGGATCTCAGTATAAACATTTGTTTATTAAAAATCTACTGTATACTTTTTTAGTACACATAAAAATATGAATGGGTGATTAGTCCAGATCAATATTCATTGTAATGATATGTCTAAGTCCTGTTTCTATACAGAAGGTTGCAGTTAATATTATCAGTTTTACCTTCCTGATTTATTTTATTACTATCAATGACCAGTGTAAAACTTGTCAAAGGATGTATTGTAATAATCTTTTGGTTCCATTTCATCAGGGGAAAAAAATCTCAATGTACTACTTTATGTCTAGGTGCAGCCCAAGGCATGAATAGAACACATATTCATTTTTTGGTGGGGGGGTGCAAATCTTAGATTAGATTCTGTCATTTTTAAACCAGTCTGTGCATGTAGAACTTCTGTTCTGTTATGGATATAGACCAGTTTCTAATCACTTATACCAGTAAAGTATAATGTCTGTGCCACGATTTGGTAATATTTACATGAGCTCTAATAGCTTCTTAAACAGAAATGATCACTTTGTCTTGCAGTTGCATGTACTGTCCTAGCAAATAAACCTTTACAAAATGAATGCCTTCTGTGAGTTACTACACTGTATAGCAGAGGCAGGCAATTATTTTGGACGGAGGGCTGCTTACCCAGTTTTGACAGGTTGTCGAGGGCCACATGGGTAACCCTGCCCCATGACAGGTGCCCCGCCCCTTGACAGGTGCCCCGCCCCCCTGGTTACTATCTTGGGACCAACATCCCAATGTCTTGGGACCAATGTCCCAGGGCCAGCTCTGGTGGGGCCTGAAGCGGGGCACAGGCTGGCAAGGGTCTGTGGAGCCAGGCTGGGCTGCACCAGCAGGGAGGGGGGAGCTGGCCTGGCTTCATAGAGCTCCTGCCAGCTGGGACCCTGCACTCCTGCCACCTGCTCTGGGCCCCGCTAGCGCTGGCTCCGAGACACTGGTGCAGGCCCCGTGCTCCCACTGGCTCCCTGCCCACTCACACCCAGTACCCCCCAGCCACACGGTACAGGTAGGGAGCAGCCGTCAGTACGCAGTCAGTCGCACATGTAGCCACACCCAGGGAGTGGAAGGAACCACAGAGGGAGCCTACAGGATATAGAGCATATACTTTTTTGTTTATATCAAAAACAACTCTGTGCCCCTGCCATGTCTACCTTCATTCAGGGCTTATACCAATGGAGTTATCTCTATTGCAACGTGACTACGCAGTTTGAGCCAATTCTAAACATGGGCTAGTTTGCATCCCCCTCTTACAGCATATATCACCATTCCATCCTTTTGTTTTGTTCTTCTGCGTGTCCAGTGGCAGAGCAAGGGATGTAGCAAAGTTTTAGGGGTATCTGCAGATTTTGGCATATAAATATAAATAAGAATCAAAATGCATTGAGTATAACAGTTCTATATGCAAATCAGATTGCCTTTAACAAGATGTTTTGACTGCATTGATTTTAACTGAATATGTTATTGAATACTGGTGATTCCATTTGCCATTCTACATTAATTATTAAACTTAGTGTAGGCTCTATGTTGGAATAACTGTAGTAATCCTGGCAGTATATCCCTTTGAGAAGACAAAATGGAATTAATGTATGAAAAACCACAGATTCAGTACACGATGCTCAGCACTTGATTACAACAAAGCAGTGCAATCTTTTCAGAGTGAAGATACAAACTGAATTTAAGCTGTTTAAAATATTCTCAGGATTTTGTGTAATGCATTTATGGAATATTAAAGAATACATTTTTATAAAGATGCACCTATTTACATAGTGTGCATTTAAAATTGAGACAAGTGAAGGCAGAGGCTAAAAGGCATATACTGCCAGCTTTATCCGACACCTTATTTCAGTTTAAAAAAAAACAAGAGTAATTGCTTATTTAAATGAATGCATGTGCATGTAGGTCATAGCAATCAGAGAAGAAGAGCTTGAAGGGACCTCCATAGATCATCTAGTCCAACTCCCTTCCTAAGGCAGGATCATCCCTATCCAAACCATCCTACACAAATCCATAATTTAACCTCTTAAGCTGCTTGTAGATGCCATGGGAGTTTAATTCGGTTTAGTTCTCCCTAAACTGAAATGGTGAGTTTTTAAAAACACCACTTCAGTTTAGGGAGAATTAAATGGAACTAAACTCCCATGGTGTGTACACTAGGGTGGGGGCCCAGTCCTTACCTGCCTCTTCAGCAGTGAGGGGAGAGCGAGCTGCCGGGAGGCTGAGCCGTCCCTGAACTGTGTGGGGGCCCCCCTGGGTGGCACCCACCCCCTGGCACCTGGTCCGGGTGGTCCCTGGGGGTGCTGCAGCCACATTGGGAAGCACCAGCCCCCCATAGCCATGGAGGGAAGCACTGGGCCCCCACACAGCTCAGGCAGGCCCCAGGGAGGAAAAGAAAAAGATCAGGCTCACTGCTTTTTTTTTTTTTTTTTTTTTTTTCCCTCTTCACTGGAGCCTGCCTGCATGGGCTGCTGCCAGTTCCCACAGCTCCTGAACTGTGCTGGGCCCACCAAGCCCCGAACACATTGGCTTCCAGCGCCCTGTGCAGTGTTGCACTTTGTTAGCTAGCAAACTAAAACACCTTGGAGGTACTAAAGTCATTTAAAGTGGAACACGATACCAAGCGTGCAAACAGCGACGCCATTAAAGCAGTGCAAAAGGATATTTAAGCCTCTTTAAAGGCCAATTTTGTGGCGTGTACAAAGGCCCTTAGTCAACCTAACATTACCCCGGACACAACACAAGACATAACCCCCTAACCTGCCACAAGTAAAGTAGGGGAACCATGGCAGCCAATGTCCTGCTTCTGTAAGTTTGTTAATATACACTCGAGAGATACAGACCCCCACCTAGAGAAAGGCAAGAAGCCCCACGGTCCATACCAGTTTGACCATGGAGTAAAATGTCTTCCTGACCAGAAATATGGTAATTGGTCTAACCCTAAGTAGAGAAGCAAGACCCTCTAGTGAGGAGCCTCCAGCTTTAAATTCCAGCAGGAGCACTGGTACACCCCAGTCAAAAATCCCCAGCCTAGTCTGCAGCTAATGCCTAGTGCATCTGAGGAAGACTTAAAAAAAAATGCCCTGACACATACCACAGCATACTGCAAGCTGAGCAAATGTAGGAGCCTTCAGAATTCCTTCCGTAACACAGCACTAATCTCTTTTTACTGTTTCTGTTACAGGCGAAAGAAGGAGCCTTCTAAAACCATTTTCATAGAGGGCTGACGGCAGCATGAAATACCTTATTTTCTTGCATACCGCATGCCCCCAACTAAAACATACACCTTGGTTTTTATAAAGCAAAAAGTAGAAAAAAATGTTTTTAAGTGACATGGCTAACAGTGTAACATAGAGAAGTCTTTCCAGGAAGTGTGTTCAGGAAACATGGCATCCCAGGAGACAGTCTGGGTAAGGCAGCAGGAACTTCCTGGTATGGCCAGACAGCAACAAAGATAGACCCTAGACCCTTGCAAGGCAGTACTAAGACTGTAACTTCCTTATTGTAAATAGTTATTTATATAAGTTCTTTAAATAATAAAATAGTTTTTTAAAAGATAAAATATTGCTTCCACATTGCAAGCCTCATCAGCATGCTACAGACTAAATGCAGTAGCTCACTCACCCTCAGCTAGTTCAGTGCCTCGTCAGCCAAAACCTACAGCCTCATCAATAACTGTGAGAGAGAGCACTGAACTCCATCCCTGTTCTTTGCAGCCCCAGGGAGAAGTGGTAGCTATTGGTAGCTGTCTTGAGAGCCATGAGTCTGCCAACAATATCTCCTTGCTCATTCTACCCTGCCTCTATTTAAGCAAAGAAAAATCAGCTTCCCCACTTCAGATACAACCCCACACTGGGGAGGGCTGATTTTGGGAGGGAAAGATAGCTCTCCACACTCAGGAATGCGAGAAAATATGGTATCAGGTTCTAAACAAACTGTTTAGCAAGAACAGCATATAACCACTTGTGTGTTTTTCGTTCTGCTTCTCTGAAATACATGTTGAAGTAATAGTGTTTACTGTTTTTTTACATATAGCTATAGATACAGATTGTGACTTCTGTATTAATATGTTTTGCC